TAATTCTTACTGGTCTAGCTAGTTTTTGCCTAAACTGTTCTGGCACTAACTCTTCTTTTATTACATTTTTTGTGCTTTCTGTATCTATCATAGCTATTGTTTGAATTTTATTTTCTTTCGACAATTCTAATTCACAATTAATTGTTATTAATGAACTAGTCTTTTGTTTTTCTATACTAGGGCAATTATTCTTTTGATTATTGTTTTCTATTATTTCAACTATATTTATTTCTATTGGTTTATTATTAAAACAAGGTTTACAATAAACTACTGTCTTAGCGTAATATTTTTCTACTACTATTTTCTTACATTGATTACATTCTTGAGGCCATCCTAAATTAACATATTTAAATTCTTCATGCTCTTTTTGTTCTTCAAACATACACATATATTCATCTAATTCACTATCGGAATTACTAGAGTAATCTGATTCTGATTTTGAGTCTAAGGCATTAACACTATAAATACTTTCATTATCACTTAGATTATCATCAATACTATAAATTGATTCTAAGTCTTCATCATCTTCTAATTGAAATTGCTCAATTAATTGTATTTTTTCTCTAGGTTCCTTTCCTAATTTGGGACACTTAGGTCTAATATGTCCTACTTCACCACAAAGATAACATTTACATGTGCTTTTATTAGGTACTTTATATTTTCTAATCCATGGTTTATTTGTTCTTTTCCTAAATTGTTTAGGGATATGTCTTCTTCTTCTAAAATTTTTTGAAGGTTGAATTCTAAAATTTTTATATTGTTGTTTATAAGGTGTATATTTTCTATAACTCTTTCTATATGGCTTTTTCTGCCTAAGTTTTAGGTAAATCTATATTTTTACAGCTCATGTAAAACTGTTTTCTAATTTGTCCTTTTGCTTTTATTTGACTACATTCTGATCGTAATATATCGTATACATGTTGTATTCTTGCTCCTATGGATACATCTAGTTTCCTAGGGTGTTTTTGCCATTCATTCCAAACTATTTCTCGTATTGGTCCTTTAATTTTGTCATATAAGTATCTAATAAATTAAGATCATCAATTCTACCTGTTCTACATAAATACTTGAAAAAGTCTGAAGTATATTCACTAATATATTGTAAATCACATATTTGTAATTGTTCTAAATTTCTTATTGCTCTAATTTGTTCTTGTTCATTTCTACCATCTAATTTATTATGATCTAAAAATTCATATTTAATTAATTTAACAAATGCATCTATATTAAACATTTCTTTTGATGCTTGATGTTCTCTTGGATTTTTAGTTTTCCATGCTTGAAAATAATAAAAAACCATTCCATCTAAAGTATGCTCAAAGTAATCTAACATATCTTTATTATTGCTAAAATCTAACATTAATGTTGCATGTACACATCCTTTTTCCCATCTTTCTATAGTTTTTTCCCAATCTTGTGGGTCTACATGATCTAAGTTTAATATATTTCCTACTAAACTAATTTGTTCAATTCCTTTATAAGGGATTCTATTTTTTTCTTAGTCCAAATGTTTCTTGTTGAAAGCACTTCTATCTTGTTGAAAGGTACTTCTACCGGTTTCTTCATTATTTTCTCTATATGGTTCATTAGTTTGCCTAAGATTTTGTTGGTCTGTTCTACTTGCAAGGGCTACAGATGGTCCAGTTGAACTATATTGATCTTCTACTGGCATGCATTCTACTTCAATTAACATATTTTGATATTCTTTTTCTCCTAAAATATGTTCTAATCCTATATTAAAAATCAAATCTTTCATTTCGTTATCTGATAATCTATGTAATCCTAAATCGTAAGTCTTATATTTTTCTATATATTCTTCTCCATCTAAAGTATCTATGTCATCTATGAGTTTATCAACTATATTATCAAAATTATGCTCAATCATATTTATTTCTAAATTATCAAATGCCATATGTATTTCTTCTTCTAATTCACTTTCTAAGTCCTCTATATCATTTATTTGCTTATAATTAGTAAATCTTACAATTGCTTCACCTACACGATTTTCAAAGATTTGTGCTTTATCAGGTTGTTTATTTTTTGCTACTTGTAAATTGAGTAAAATCCATTATGTGCCTTGTAAAAAGCTATTATCTACGGGTTTTGCTTCTATCATATTAACATGTTTACTACCAAAAGTTTGTACTAAATTTTGGAATTCTACATTAAATTTATAGTTATAGTTATCTGAAATTTTTCCTACATACATAAGACTAATACTTAAATTTTTGTATTCTCCTTTCATCTTATAATTTTTTGTTCTTATGCTAATTTTAATATGTTTACTAAATTCTCTAATATTCATGACATAATTAGGAATATATCCTATGATTGCTAGGTTTGTGCTAAGATCTACTTCTGCTGTAGTTATAGCTGCTTGTTGATGGTTATCCCATCTGTCATCATATATGTGTACTAATGCTTTAGTTCCTACTTGTGCTCTTGTGAGTCCAGCTATTCCTATCATAATTGTTCCTATATGAATTTGTTGATGGTGTGACTTTCTAAGATGTTCTATTGTTGTATTACTAAGTAAATTAAGAGTTACTTCTTTATCTATACAGCTCACTTCATGTTGACTGATGCTACTTACAATACTATGTTTATTTTCAAATCTTCCTAATTGATATAAATTATATTTATTTTTCTGAGATTTTTCAAAACCTTTTCTAAGAAATTCTTGTGCTTCTTGTTCACTAGGGTATATATATCTTCTGTTCTAACTATTTCTTTTCCTTTTCTTCTAAAGAGTTCCATTTACTATTATCAAAGGGATTTATTCTGCCTCTTCTTTTATAAGGATTATTTCCTAAGGATAAATGATCTAATTTATCAACTAAGTCTTTGGGTAGTGTTGAAGTAGTATTGTGCACTACTTGATTAATTTATGTTATTTGTTCTTCCAATTGATCTACTTTTTCGGCTAGATCTAAAATTAGTTGGATAATTAAATTATTTTGTCTTATAGGGATATTACTACTTGTTACAGATGTTGTGAATTCTGTAAGACCTACTAGTTCCTTATCTAGTTCACCAACTTCTTCTAATGCTTTGATATATTTATTATTAATTTTAGAATATGTCATTAAACTAAAAGTCTATCTATTTTATTATGTAACTTTTCTACTTGTTCAGTTAATGTTTTTTGTATTAATTGGATTTTTTGTACTTCTAATTTTATTGCTCAATAATTTCTAATGACTGAAGCTCTATTTGTTTTGGTTTACTATCTATGAGATCTATGAGGTCTTTGATTTCTTTCTTGCTAGGAAATCTTTGAATATTCCTATTATTATCTTCTAATTGAGATGTTATATAGTCTAAGTTTTGTCTAATTGTTTTTAAGGAATTTTTTTGAAAATATTCTAATAATTGTTGAATTATTCTATTATGTTTATTATGTTCAAATTTTACACTTTCTGCTTGACTAATTAAAAGGTCAACAATACTATTTTTTAAGGGATTGTTACTGCTATGTAATAGATGTTTGTGTTCCTTTTGTGGAAAATAACAAACTAACGTATTATTATCTAAAGTTAATTTTTTCTTTTGTTGTTCACTAATTTCTAAATTAAGGTACTCTATCATATAAATTTATCTCTAAGTCTACCTTTTTATTTTAGGATGCCTAAATGTTCCTGAAATGCTTCTATGGATTCTTTACAAACTTCTAAATGGTACTAGTTCCTTGTTATGCTATTATGTACTTCTAGTTTTCTTCTAGGATAATTACCTACTTCTGGTGATTTTATTAATTCTTCTCGATTCCTAATTTCTCTTTGGTATTCAGCCTTTTGTTTCTTTAATTCTTGTAACATTTCTTTTATTTTAATAGATGTCCACCATGGGCCAAACATGTAAAAGGGTTTACTGTTCTTAACTGGTGATTTTGGAAATTAACAAAATTTTAACAGGTTATAAAACGTTGGTTTTTATTAGTTGTGTTGATTGACTTCTGTCCTCAAGGTACTTTACTATCATAATCATATTATTAAGGTGCTAAACTAAGGCTCTGATACCATTATTGTAGTGGGGTCTCGGTCAAGGTTTCTAAAGGCCAAAATAACAACTAGACACCATGCCTAGAACATGGAACTGCAAAGACGCCAACTTAAAGGGCTATGGAGCAGAACTCAGAGGTTCCCTGACAGACATCCAATTATCATTATGGCAAATACAAAACATGACCAAGTGCTCAAACAAAGTATTGATCGTCAGTTTAGCAAGATAACAACATAATTATAAAAGTGTTTCCCTGTTTTGGACAAGAAGTCTGCTAAGAAAACCAAGAAAATGAAAGAGAAAAAGACTTACTTAATTGCTTTTGTTGCTGGAACTGTTATAACCAGGTATTAACAGTGGTCGGAGGTAGAAAGTGTATGAAGAAGATAAGAGAAAGTATATGAACAAAGGAAATTTTATTGATTGAAAACTGAATGAGGAAGTACTGAGATTTTTTCTTCTCTGGTATTGTTATCGTACTTTCTCTCTTCGGAGTTACAAACTATATACACTATTTTCACTGACTCTACTAAGAATGGTTAAAGGATGAGAGGAGAAACCTCTCTATCTGATACCATCTCTAACTCTCCATAAAGTTTCATACATCCATAAAGTTTCATACATCACATGCCAACTGATGACAAACAAACGATTCTTCTGCCTTTTAAGACAAAATACACTTAAAAATATGTACAAAGAGACAAAAATACTATTTCTGGTACTATCGTTGTGCAGTAATAACTGTTGGGCAGATGCAAAGTGACAACGTCTTCACATAGTCTGGTTACTTGAAGACAAAATATTTGCATGTAGGTCTGGTTTCTTTACATGCTGCTGTGGTTTTTGGTGAAGGAAAGAGCTTCTAGGATTTACATGTCTTTGATGCTAAAGATAATGGTTTTTTTTGTCATTTTGAAATTTTTTTGGGTGTTTTTATAAGCTGCTTGTTTCTTTTGGGTTTTTTACTAAATTCCTATGATTTTAAATCCGGCCCTCGTGATGATTTCACTTCAGTAAAACCCACCCGAGCCCTCTTCTGCTTTTCAATTTCAATTCTACTTGGTTCCTTTTCTTCTGTTTTCACCCCTTCTTCTTCCCCACCCCCAAAACCTGCAAAAATCCTCCACTTCCCTACCAGTCCTCCCTAACCTCTGTTATTTATTTATTTACTTCTGCAGCTTGAGCTCTAATAAATTATACAAAACAAAATGAATGGCTGAGAAAATCAATTGGGAAATTCAGAGCCAGAGGCAAAAGCCATGGGCAACAAGATCGCTCGAACGACCCAAGTCTCGGCGTCGGAATACTACCTGCACGACCTGCCTTCCTCCTATAACCTCGTCCTGAAGGAGGTTCTAGGCCGAGGCCGCTTCTTCAAGTCCATTGAGTGCAAGCACGACGAGGGTTTGGTCCTCGTCAAGGTCTACTTCAAGCGCGGCGACTCCATCGATCTCCGCGAGTACGAGCGCAGGCTCTTCCACATCAAGGAGACCTTCCGTGCTCTTGATCACCCTCACGTTTGGCCCTTCCAGGTTCTTTTCAATTTCTTCTTCCAGTTTTGTTTGGTTGTTTAGAAACTCAAATGGAAAATTGGGTTTCGTGAAATTGCACATGTTTAACAAGTTCATAGAGTTAAGTATGTGTTATGATTAGGAACATAATTTTTGCTGAAACTGTTGGATTCTGTTTGGGGGCTGAGAAAATTTGATGTTTCTAACTCTTAAGAGTTCTAATTTTATTGGGTTCATTTTATTTTAAGCAATTATTTAGAGTTGGCATTGCTTGATTTAGTTATATGGCCTCCCTGCTGTTTCCTCTTTGCAGTTTTGGCAAGAGACAGATAAAGCAGCTTACCTTGTAAGGCAATACTTCTTCAATAATCTGCATGACCGATTAAGCACACGACCTTTTCTCAGTCGCATCGAGAAGAAATGGTTGGCTTTTCAGGTCTCTCTCTCTCTCTCTCTCTCTCTCTCTCTCCCTCTCTCCCCTCTTTTACATCTATGATTCGTCTTACAATTTTATGTTTTTGTGCTTGCTGTGCAGTTACTTCTTGCTCTGAAGCAGTGCCACGACAAGGGCATATGTCATGGTGAGTTCAGTTAGTTGAGGAACTTCACCAATGCCCTTTTTTCAATGTCATATTAATGGGGTTGGTTCTGTTTGTTTTATTTATGCCATCTTAGGTGATATTAAGTGTGAGAATGTATTGGTGACTTCTTGGAATTGGCTCTACCTTGCTGACTTTGCATCTTTCAAACCCACTTACATACCATACGACGACCCGTCTGATTTCTCGTTTTTCTTTGACACTGGAGGAAGAAGGCTTTGTTATCTTGCTCCTGAGGTATGCTTTTTGTATCTTTCTTCTTCACTTTTCTTGCATTTCTTTATCAAGGAGGTGCATAATTTTGTCCATTTGCGTAAGTTGTAGCATATATGGATATATATACAGTCCCCTTCTATTGAGGGACCCCTCAAATAATTTTATTTGAGGGACACCCTTTAGGGTCCCCTAAGAATGTTTTTTCAACGATCCAAATCGTCTATTTTTTCAATTCTACATTCATAAATCATCCTTGCAAAAAATTAGACAAATCGGAAACCGTTTCAACATCCAATTGTGTCCTACAAAATCAATGAACACGGTGCTTCAAGAAAATACTAAAATTTCAATAACTCAATTGAGTGGTCGAATGGTATTGGATTGAAGTGATTTTTTTGTAGAGATGATCTTTGAATGATTATCTAAAAAATAGACGGTTTGGATTAGTGAAATACAATGCAGGGTGAGCCCTACAAGGGTGTCCCTCAAATAAGCGTATTTGAGGAATCCCTTAATGGAAGCTCTCTATATATATATATATACCTGAGCATTTCATAAAAGGTTTATAGATGGCTTGTAGTCATAGTATCAGGGTTCATTGGAGTGGTTTTGTGAAATTGATACCGTGTCTACTATCCTGGAACTGAAATTTGAGCAGTTCTACAAACTACAACGTATTACACATTATAGTAATGTCTTAGCAGTATTCCAGACTACAATCTATTTAACACACTACATCTTCTTATGCATTAAAATTTGTTGAAATTTTTTTTGCTGCATCTTTTAAGAGTCAGCTAAGAAGTTTCACCACTAACGTTGAGAGGGATCTTAATGTTTCTAACACTAACCAGTCACCATATATACTTACCTCTAGTGACACGGTTATATTATTAATTGTATTCAAATGGCTTCAATTTCCAGAGATTTTATGAGCATGGAGGTGAGATGCAGGTTGCACAAGATGCACCATTGAGGCCATCTATGGACATCTTTGCTGTAGGGTGAGCTTTTGTTGCATTAGCATTTTGACCCCATTGAAATTCCAGTACCATCTTGATTATTAATTTTGCTTCAGAGACTTCATCATATCCATAACACTGATTTAGGTGTGTAATTGCGGAGCTTTTCCTTGAGGGTCAGCCGCTATTTGAACTCTCTCAACTTCTTGCTTATCGTAGAGGGCAATACGATCCTACCCAACTTCTTGAAAAGGTTCTCTCTCTCTCTCTCTCTCTCTCTCTCTCCCCGCAATCCCTCGTCCTCTTACTAAGTATACAATTCTGTTCGAGTTCTTATCACATCTCTTTCCACAAGGTATTGAATTACTCTTTATCATGTTGCCTCTTGAACTTTATTTTTTGACAACCCTCTTTTCTTTTCTTGCATCTTTTGCTCAAATCTCTCCTTACTGATGTGTATTCTTTTACTTTCTTCATATATGCACTCTGAATGCAGATACCAGATTCTGGGATTCGCAAGATGATACTTCATATGATTCAGTTGGAACCAGAGTTGCGACTCTCTGCTGATAGCTACCTGCAAGAGTATACCACCATTGTGTTTCCAAGTTACTTCTCTCCGTTTCTGCATAATTTTCATTGTTTCTGGAATCCACTTCATTCAGATATGAGGGTAAAAAATGTTGTTACTTTTTTTTTTTGGTCTGAAAAAAAGAAGTTTACTTTTAAAGATTTTCCACTTACTTAGTGCACGTTAAAGTTTTCACAACTCCGTAATTATTGTATGTAGGTTGCACTTTGCCAGAGTGTTTTCCATGAGATACTTAAACAAATGATGAGCATTAGGTCAACTGAGGACACTGGAACTGGACTTGGAACTCCTTCAAATGCCAATGCCATTAGTGGTAAAACTTCTCAGGAGGTCGTTACAATGCAGAACAAGAATTTTGCAAAGGGCTCGATTAGAAAGAGAGAAGAGATAGGTAAAGGCTTAAAATGTGATCAATTTGAACTTCTTGGTGATATCAATACCCTTCTCAGGGATGTTAAACAAAGTAATCATTATTCTGTTTCCAAGCCAGTGCTAGACGCTAATCCTGATTCTGCATTTTCCCAAAATCTCGGAAACTATGGGATGCAGTCTCCTGGTGAATTACTTCAATCTATCTCCAATGCATTTAGGAGAAATGATCATCCTTTTATGAAAAAGATAACACTAAATGATTTGAATTCATTGATGTCCAAGTATGACAGCCAATCAGATACCTTTGGCATGCCTTTTCTGCCGTTGCCTGAAGACAGTATGAGATGTGAGGGAATGGTTCTGATTACCTCTTTGCTCTGTTCCTGCATACGCAATGTAAAATTGCCTCATTTAAGGAGGAGGGCCATACTGTTGCTCAAATCGTCTGCCTTGTATATTGATGACGAAGATCGTTTGCAACGTGTAATTCCATATGTTGTTGCAATGCTTTCAGATCCAGCTGCAATTGTGCGTTGTGCTGCCTTGGAGACGTTGTGTGACATTCTCCCTTTAGTCCGAGATTTTCCTCCCAGTGATGCAAAAATTTTTCCAGAGTATATTCTGCCAATGCTTTCTATGCTTCCTGATGATCCAGAGGAAAGTGTGAGGATATGTTATGCCAGTAATATAGCTAAACTGGCACTAACTGCTTATGGTTTCTTGATTCACTCAATAAGCTTGAGTGAGGCTGGGGTACTTGATGAATTAAGTTCTACCAAAAAGCCACTGGCATCATCTAGTGAGACATCTGGTCAACTTCAGAGGGTAAACAGTGATGCACAGCTTGCAATGTTGAGGAAGTCCATAGCTGAGGTCATTCAAGAACTTGTTATGGGTCCAAAGCAAACTCCAAATATCAGGAGGGCACTCCTTCAGGACATTAGCAACCTGTGCTGCTTCTTTGGCCAGAGACAGAGTAATGACTTTTTGTTACCCATTCTCCCCGCTTTTCTGAATGATCGTGATGAGCAGCTTAGAGCAGTATTCTATGGGCAAATTGTGTATGTATGCTTCTTTGTGGGTCAAAGAAGTGTGGAAGAATATCTTTTACCTTATATTGAGCAGGCTGTAAGTGATGTTACAGAGGCTGTCATTGTCAATGCATTGGACTGTTTGGCCATTTTGTGCAAAAGTGGTTTCTTGCGGAAGAGGATACTTCTTGAAATGATTGAGCGTGCCTTTCCATTGTTATGTTATCCTAGTCAATGGGTAAGAAGGTCAGCTGTCACTTTTATTGCGGCCAGCAGTGACTGCTTAGGTGCTGTAGATTCCTATGTTTTTCTTGCCCCTGTTATTCGGCCCCTACTTCGCAGACAGCCAGCATCTCTAGCTTCTGAAAAGGCTCTCCTTGCATGTTTAAAACCTCCAGTCTCAAGACAGGTTTTTTACCAAGTTCTAGAAAATGCAAGGAGTTCAGACATGTTGGAAAGACAGAGAAAGATATGGTACAACTCCTGGCCCCAATCCAAACAATGGGAAAGTGTGGATTTACTTCCAAAAGGGGTTGAGGAATTGAGTTCAACGAGGAACTGGCCTGACAAGCAACAAAGTCCCGAGAATCAAAAACTTACTGGAAAGGCATTGCAACAATTAGAGCTAACTGAATGTGAAGATGGTGAGGCCAAGTTGAGAAGTATGGGAAGCTTTACACGTGCTTCTAGTACAGTTGACATTCATGATCCTTTGTCCTCTGAAAAGTTGCAATTTTCAGGCTTTATGTGGCCACAGGGAAGTGGTGTGAATAGCTTCATGTGCGATAAATCATCAGTAGGCATACCTTTATACTCCTTTAGCATGGACAGGCGAGCAGTGGGAGTTCCTCCTGCAGCATCTGATTCTCCAGCTCAAGTGAATTCAGTAGGACTTGGTGCATCATCCATGCCTTGGATGGATCCAGTAAATAAATCATTTAGTTTGGCTAGTTCTGTTCCAGCACCTAAGCTTGTGTCGGGATCATTCAACATGAGTAGTGGTTCCAAACAGTTCTATAGAGTTGTGCATGAGCCAGATGGTAGGGATAATGATCAAACAGCCTTTGCTAGTAGCAAGCTTCAAGATATTGGATTATCTGGCACTTCAAAAGGAAGTTCTATAGCTGCGGAAGATGCATCCCCTACAAGTGATATAACTGGATTGCCCTCTTCTGCACGAAATTCATCAATTCCCGATTCTGGTTGGAGGCCCCGTGGGGTGCTGGTTGCACATCTGCAAGAACATCGGTCTGCTGTCAATGACATAGCCATTTCAACTGATCATAGTTTTTTTGTGAGTGCATCTGATGATTCCACTGTCAAGGTGTGGGATTCTAGAAAGTTGGAAAAGGACATATCATTTCGGTCAAGGTTAACTTATCACCTTGAGGGAAGCCGTGCACTGTGCACTGCAATGCTCCGGGGCTCTGCTCAAGTTGTAGTTGGAGCATGTGATGGAATGATACATATGTTTTCTGTTGATTACATCTCCAGAGGTCTTGGTAATGTTGTTGAAAAGTATTCGGGTGTTGCTGATATCAAGAAGAAGGATATTAAGGAAGGTGCCATACTCAGCCTTTTGAATTTCTCTGCTGATAACTGTACAAATCAGATGGTTATGTACAGCACCCGAAATTGTGGGATCCATCTTTGGGATACGAGAATGAATACCAATTCTTGGACATTGAGAGCAACTCCTGAAGAGGGCTATGTTTCTTCACTGGTAACAGGACCTTGTGAAAATTGGTTTGTGTCCGGATCTTCAAGGGGTGTGCTTACTCTTTGGGATATGAGGTTCCTTATTCCTGTGAACTCATGGCAGTATTCTGCTGTTTGCCCTATTGAGAAGATGTGTCTTTTTCTTCCTCCTCCAAATGCTTCTGCCTCTGCTGCTGCAAGACCCCTTGTTTATGTTGCTGCAGGTTGCAATGAAGTTTCTCTTTGGAATGCTGAAAATGGAAGCTGCCACCAGGTACATAAAAATGATCTCCTTTCAACTTTTACCTAGAAATCATCTTCTGTAAGCTTCTGTAGAAATTAGATATGGATGGCACTGGATAAGTTGATACAATCGTATGCATAGCTTACAGCCCCCTGCTTGGGCTCTTTTTCAAAGTAATGAAGAAAACTGGAAGTAATGATCAGATCTTATTTTATAGTGGCAGAACGGATTTGATAAATTATTAATTGAGTCAACAGGCAGAATGTGGTGTCATCCATGCACTCTTTTAGGTTGAAATTGGAAGGTTTGCTGGTTTTGTGCTGCGATTTACCAAAATTTTCAACTTCTTTTCTTCAGACTAGCTGAATACTAGTATATTAATCTCTTATAGTTTGGACTTATGCTTTCCTACACTTAAACAACATTTGATGTAACCTATGAAAATGGAAAAACAGGAGGTGATTAAGTTTTGATTAAGAAAAAAAATTAAATTGCACGGACAAAACTATCAGGTGCCTCACGGTCCCTGGGTGGTCTCTGGTATATCTGTGATGTAGCCAAAACTTATCAAACTTTTCAGATGCTTATTGTTATTTTTATTTTCTCTATGTACGTAAGTTCCATTTTTTGCCCTTGTCTACCTACATTAGTACAAATGTTGTGATATTCAACTTTTTCTCCCAGTTCATACCTATAATTATTCAATCTTCTTTTTTTCAGGTGTTGAGAGTGGCAAGTTATGAAAGTGATGCTGAAACATCTGAAGTGCCTTGGGCCTTGGCTAGATCATCAAGTAAAAATTCTAAACCAGATCTGAGACGGAATGTCAATCCCCACTACAGAGTTGATGAACTAAACGAACCCCCTCCTCGTCTTCCTGGCATCCGTTCATTGCTGCCCTTACCTGGGGGTGATTTGTTAACTGGAGGAACCGACTTGAAAATACGTCGATGGGATCATTACAGGTTTGTTGCAAATTCATTATTATTTTCTTGATGTAGTGAATGTTGTGTAGTGGTTTAATTGGCTGTATTTTGCAGTCCTGATCGAAGTTACTCCATCTGTGGGCCAAACTTGAAGGGAGTTGGAAATGATGATTTCTATGCGACAAGATCTAGTTTTGGTGTGCAAGTTGTGCAGGTATAATTTGTCGATTGTAGTATTATTTCAGGGTTCTATGAATTTAAGTCCTGGCAGAGTATGGTGAGGTCGATCTATAGTTTGTGCATGCAGAAATTATGTTTTAAGAGGGGAAGCTTTTGTTCTACTTATTTTTCCCTCCGAAAACCAAAGTTAAATGACTTGGTAGTTTCAAAGAATCGTTGGGAAATCGGGTGATAGGATGTGCTTGTTTTCATTAGTTTTACATTATAAGTTGCTCAAACAATTCGTCATAGGTCTCCCCTTCATTGTTCTATTCTGTTCTTGGTCTTAGTGTTGTGTTTTAACAAGTAGGACACCAGATCAGTTGCTAAGCTGTAGAAAGTTATTATTACCATTGTAATTTTGTTATGTAGGTTTTTATGATTCTTATTTGGTTTGTTTTTTTCATAAAAAAAAAATAGGAGACAAAGAGACGACCTCTAACGTCAAAGCTCACAGCCAAGGCAGTACTTGCAGCTGCTGCCACTGATTCTGCTGGCTGCCACCGTGATTCTATTCTATCATTGGCCTCGGTTAAGTTAAACCAGAGACACTTAATATCGAGCGGTAGAGATGGGGCAATCAAGGTTTGGAAGTAATTGACATAATCATTCCTTTTTCTGTTGTACATACATAGCACAATGCTAGTGAAGTTGTACATTATATATTTATGAAAAGCTTAGACTGAATGTATAAGCTTAGACTCCCATTTAGCTATTCCTAACCGGTCGTACATATGTTTGAGTCATACCCTGCTTGATTTTAGAGTTTGTATACATGTAGGAATAGATAGGAAGTCAAATTATTGATGTGTTTCATTGATGTTTCCAGTTGAAATGCATAATTAAAAAATTGTGTAAATTTGGGCGTACTTGTGAATTTGTGATTCCACATTCAAAGTTTGGCTGCATTGTTACTTAGTCTCTTGTTTTGGAAAGAATGCGGGTTTGGATATTATAGTTTATTTCCTTATCATGGTGCGTTGGTACAGCATGAATTGCTCCTTCATTTCGTCCTGACAATCCAATTCACTCCAATCCTAGGCACAGAACGAGCCATTCCTGTGTTTGGTGTTTCATGGGGATAAGAAGCCGGATAATGTTAAAAAAAAAAAAGGAATTTTGGGTTAAATAAGGCTAACGAATGAGCCGCATTATAAGTTCTATATTTTTCTTCGTCATTATCTAAAGTATCAAAGAGATCATAATCCATGAATCTGAATCAGCCACAAGTACTTTCAATGCTTTCGATCTGTAACAGAGCCCCAATTTTGATAGCCCAGCCTACAATTCATCTTTTTGTTGCTCGAACCTTATCCTTCTTAGCTTGAACAGCACCAGCTCATTATATTTTGTTATATTTTGATCTCAATATCTTCCGACCTAACATTTAGTAACAAATCCAACTAAAAACACCAAATGCAGCTGAAAATGAAATTCGAAACCCTGTAGGATGAAACCATTAAATTTTGACAATTTAAGGTTGGGTCAAAGTTTTAAACGAAAACCAGAAACAGTAACAGAGACCCGACATTGTAGTCACTGGTCGGCAACATTAAGGATTGATTCTGGGACAAGCCTTTTCTGAATTTGGAGTTTGGTGTCTTGTCTACACGAAGGGAATCGTGGATCGATTGCAGGTTTAAGTTTTGTTTGGGTTTTGCTGCTTAGCTTACCTAAGGGTTTTCTGAGCACCTGATGGACAAGCAAGGTAAGTGGCTGTTCTTATTTGGCTGTAAAAGAAATTATTGGTGTTTTCATTAAGTTTGTTTACTAGTGATGCAAGGGGCTTATGTCTCAAGTAGTTAAGATCATTTATTCCTACACCCGAGATCCTAGAGTCGAACAAGGCAATTGGAACTAGTCCATACTGTTTGCAAACAAACACCTCCACCACTGAGGTAAACACCCACTGGCTGATGTGGTTGTTTTTGCTATAGTACATGTATGGAATTAAAGCATTTAAAGCATGACCATTCAGCTTGCATGACGTGTTCATAGATGAGAGTGAAAGTTTCAAAAGTTCTCACAAACGGCATTGAGGAATATTTTGTTCTGCATGTATAAGAGCATCTTCAAGGGAGATGTCAAATACCAAATATCAAATTTAAATTTGATGACTGATGTGGCAATTTGACATCTTACACAACTTTACACTCCACCCGATATGTCAAATTAAATTATTATTTTATTGCATTTTAGTGTTGATTTATTTTTAATTAAAAATAAAAGAAAAGAAAAATAAATAAAATATTCATTTGACATCTTGCTTTTGGGATGTCAAAAATATTATCTCAACCTCCAGCCTTCATTCCATATCAGCTTTGACACATCGGTTGGAGTGATGTGAGATGTTATTTCTAGCTGTTAAACGTCTATGTGGCACTTTTGACACATCGGTTGGAGATGCTCTAAGTCTACGGAATACCTTGGGAAGGCAGAAAAGTAGAAGAAAAGGCATAGGTAAAAGAGTTCAAAGGAAAGGAGGTAAAACGACACAAGGGAAAGGGAAAGGCCCTCTCCTAAGTCCAGGTTGAGGGTTAATTGCCATTTATGGTAATTTAATATGAAGGAATCCAGGTTTAATTGGTTTGATTAATACCCAGCTTCTAGATTTTTTCCCAAAGGCACAAAGTTTGATCACCACCGTTGATCACTAGATTCAGAAATCAAATCAGCAGATAATGGGGAGGATTTTTTCTCTCCACAAAAGCCCACGTGATCCCCAACGACATGATGTCTATAGAAGAAGGAGCAGCTGGGGAGTTGGTAGAAAGGCTAAATCGGAAAACCACTCCCCATAACCATTAATGCCAGAAAAGAGGGTCAAGTTTTCTTCCCATACTCGCGAGGATTTCTCATCAATACAAAGCTGGGTTTTTGCAAGAGATAAACAAGAAATAACAGAGTTGGTTGTTAGAAAGTCAAAGCGATCAATCCTAAAAACTGACTCTTGATGGGGGCCTTTCTTGTCAGACTAACCACCACTCTCTTTTGGCGCTAGAGTAGAGGATCCTTTTAACCATGTGTCCTCTAGATTGTTGAGGCCCAAAAAATCCAAGGCTAGGCCCAAATATAATCTCGGCCCAATGCTATACCTTATCGAGAAGAAACCCGATTTGGGCATGCGAAAGTTCGTCATATGCGCTTGCACACATGCCACGCCAAGCAAATAAGCAACATGTCACGCTACAAGCTTAAGTGGGCCCAAGCCACGCGAATGCCTGAGACTTGCTGAGCGGGTTGTGGTATGGATGGTTACGAGTATTCACGAGGCCCATTGATGGTCCAAGGAGTGGAAGTTTTGGGCTACTTGGGAGCACCAAAACTCAAGCCCATTCCTTGAGCCCAAACATATGGGTAAGCATGAGAGAGAAAACCCAATAGCCGATCACCTTAAGAAAAGGCCCACAACACTTGAAGAAATCCCACATCAGCTAAAACTTCCAGCTACTTGAGCAAACTCACAAGCTGCTGGAAACAAAACAGCCCGACGTCTTATATCCAACATCGTGGAAATATCCAATATCTTTCTTAAAACCAGATCAAAGCCAAACCACCAAAACCAAGCAAAACCATGTGTTGATGGAATCACCTTTTGACTAGCACCCTTACCCATTCTTTCCTCTTCAAGCTTTGGTGGGAAAACAAGAAACAAAAGTGGGCGGCTCCTCACCCACATGGAGAAGTCCAGCTGCCTAAGGACCTTGGAGCCCTAAAAAGCTGCGTGCCTATGGGTTCAGGCTAGGGAAATTTCACCAAACAAGAGTAAATGGAAGAAAGTGAGGAAAAGGGGAGAGAGTGGCTTGACAAAATCAAGGTTTTCAACACCTATAAAAGGAGCCACTTTCTTCCCAACAAGACACATAACAAACCGATCGAAGGCAAGCATCCCCCCTGGAATCCTTCAATTTCATGCTTTATTCTTCCATCTTCCTCCTTTCTCTTTCTCAAAACCCACATCCAGAGAGAGCAAGCATCATATCTCATCTCTGGAACCCTCCGATTTCAAGCCTTGTTCTTCCATTGCTTCCCATTTTCGCTTCTGTCAAATCACCCAGGAGCTTGACGAAGCTTTCGTCAAGCTGCTGGAAATATGCTAAAACCACCCATGCTTTCATCTTCTTCCTCGCTCTCTCTCTCATAACACATATCCAGAGAGCAAGCTTCCCTCTCATCTTCAAAACCTAGCAATTTCATGCACTATTCATCCTTCTTCCCCATTTTCCCTCTTGGCAGAATTGTTCCAGTACTTGGACAGAACTTTCGTCAAGCTGCCAGAAACTTGCTCAAGCCACCCGTTCCTCTTCCTCATTTCTTCCTCTCTCTCCTCAACAAATCCTCCCAAAAACTCTCTCTTCCCCTTACTTCGAGCCTATGTTTCTCATAGGAAACCCAAGCCTTCTCTCTGTCAGGCTAAACTCACGAATGCTCAGCTCCCATGCCACAAGCTTCTCATGCCAAGCCTAAATATTTATCTGCAAGCAATTGTCTTTTTTGTTGGTGAAGATAACCAGGGTATTTCCTAAGGCTCCGCTACCCTTTCGAAGCGCACTTGGGGTTTGATTCTCAAACTCAAACACAAGGGGCGATTCCAGCCATTTGCTCTTTATAGTAGCCCAGGCCCATTCATCAAGTTGCTGGAACGAAAAAGCCCCTACACAGATATTAAGGAATAATCACTCATGTAGATTCTCTATAAATATGAGAGGATGTGAACAGGATAGAGGACAACAAAAACTCTCAGTCAAACTGACAAAATCAAGCAAGATCATATGATCTCAAGAGCTTTCAAGCTTTGAAAAAACCAAGTTCTTTGGCCTGCAAAAGCCATCCAGCATCTAACAAAACAGGTAGAACTCAGACTTCTGACTCCAGCTCAACTCAAAGAGGCAGTTCACAAAGGAAACGAGATTCTCTCTCGTTACAAATTTGGTTCAACACAGGTGAATCAAACAGAATTCAAGCTTTTCATAATATGAAAACCTCAACAAATTTTCTGAGATGCCGTAATGTCTCAGAGTTGCTAGAATAGCTCTTGGATGATTCATAATCAAGCATAATAGGTATTGAAGTGCAGCTCCAGACCAGCAATCGTCAATCCAGTCATTTCCTATCCAATCCAGACTGGAGAAATCTCAGTTCTGCCCATTTGACAAGCCTCTCCATAGCTAAAATTGATTAAAGTTCTGCCAATCTCAACATTAGTATTGATTTCTAGCTAAATCCCATCAGTTGAAAGTGTTGACGTGCAATTCTAGTACAGATAAATCTAGTCCAACCTGAGTCATGGGCAACAACTCAAGCAGAAATCGAAGTCCAATGTTCTGATGTCTTTCCAAACTTGGCAGTTTCCTTTTGGCTTAATTGTGTAATAAACAGTTTTCTTTGAATTAAGTTTGGTCCATTTGCAACATTCATTTTGGCTAGAATTACTAGTTTTTACTGTGGGAAATTGTAAAGTCTTCACCCGTCTGAGGGAAAAAAAGAACTTACTTGGGAGATATTCCTCACACAAATTCACAATCACTTGTTTAAAGTAAGTAACTTAGGGCGCAAATTATTTATTTTTCATAAGTCTGTTAGGGTTTAACAGCTAACAGTGGCACACTCGTAGAGATGGCAACAGGTCGGGTAGGGGCCGGGTATGACAATACCATCAGCGTCCCTGCTTTCCATTCCCGCCCCCGTCCTCGAACCCATCCCCGTTTAATAGGTTTCGGGGAATCCCCGTCCCTGTCCCCGTCGGGGGACTATCCCCATACCCAACCCCGAATCCCCGAAATTTTTTTTTTTGCATAAAAAAATATTATCATACATTTTAACATTAAGTTTCATATTAAATTATCATTCAACACATCCAAACTAACTATAAAATTCAACTTAGCTATTCAAAATCACATCAATATGAAAATCCAGAG